ATAAAAATGTCTTAAAATAATAGATAGATAGATAGATAGATAGATAGATAGATAGATAGATAGATAGATAGATAGATAGATATTCGTGCCTGATGAGTTGGTAAAACAACGAAACTTAAGTCGCTCTTCAAACGTAGGTATATGTATATTCATTAATATATATTTCTGAGCTCTGTAACCACATCGAGCATTGTTACGTTTAAACGGTTAAAAGTAAATTTAGTAAATATTTATTTGCTTACCTGTATATCCACATTAACACGCGCATATACGGTTACTAATATCTAGTTATTTGATTAACCCAAATAATATATATATATATATATATATATATATATATATATATATATAATCCGATGCGCTTTAGACTGCATCAAAGAGCTTCACAGGAAGTTTCTATTTACCCTTTTAAGGAATTCACATTACATTTTTCAAATTTTCTCAAACGCCCATATATGTTCAATTTTGTATCCGAAACATAAACAAAGCAATTTCTAAAGAATTAATAAATTTTTAATCCGACATTTTTTATTACTTCAAATATTATTTTAGTGTATAGCGTCGTTTGAAATAGACGCCACATTTTTAATTTTAAATCGGGTATGACGTTTATTTGTTTAAAATAAAAAAAAAAAAACAGAGTGTTATTTCAAACAGGAGTATCTACTAAAAATAACGTTTGAAATAATTTAAATATATAATTATTCTAGTGCTGTATATAAAATGTTTTTAAAGACAATTTATTTTCGGAATTAATTATTTATTAGTTATTCTATACTATTACAAGTTCAAAATGAGAATTTCTAAATTCAGAATGAAAATTTAAAAATCCAAATTTAACACAAAAATAGTGTTTATTGATATAATCATATTACTTGACATCGTTCAAATTTAATATTGAGGAAAGTGTTCTATAGATTTTTGCTATGACTCGATTGCATAGTATTGGCATTATTTCCTTTAAGGAATCTTCAATGCTGCCTTCCAATTTGTCCAATCGAAAATCCTTTTTCGTTGTCCCTGATATAATTTATGCATTGAGGATCTCACCCATATTTTCAGCCAATTTTCTTTTGATGAATGCTTTTATAACCTACCAAACGTTTTCTATCGGATTAAGCATCGGCCTTGTAGGGCGTCATTTAGAGAAAATGATTGCGCTCAAATTCTGGATCGAGTAAAACTCTTTCAATGTTGGAGTGGCATGGAGCGTTATAAATGACAATAACTGTTGGTTTCTGATAGATTTTATAGGCCATCCGCAAGCATTCCTTTATCCAATTTCCAACCGCTTCCTTATTGTAAGAACCTCGGTGAATTTCATGAAGTATTAGTCACTTAGTACCAATGCATCCAATTAATCCAATTAGAAGCTGCTGAAGATGTACTGCATTTTTCTCCTCTCAAAGATCGACCTTGAATTCTCTTAATATGCAGGTTGAAATTTGTTTCGTCCATAAATAGGATGGGGGGATTGTCAGCTTGATAATCCAACAACCTTTCGGCAAATTCCTTTCTCTTTTCCTTATTGGTTTTACTGTTACCCGTTTCAGGCTCAAATCTTATACCTTTCATAGTGTAGGTCCCTTCACAGCAGGTACATAGTGGCTGTAGTTATAGATTGAATTATAGGAGGTCCTCTCAGATCTCAACCATGCAGATTTAACCAAGATCTCAATTTCAATTCTTCTACAAATTTTAATTTCACCCGATACTAATTCTACTACTTTTTACATGGTCCCATTAGCACGCCCTATTACGGACACGATCTCAATCTTCAACTTCTCTCAGTTTTCCGACAAGGCTCTGCTATTTAAAAACACATTTTTCGCTTTCTTTCTACTTCACTTAATAGGCTGATACTGCAGACATTAGGAGCTGAAGATATCAAAGGCGACATTCTCTCTTGGAAGGAGTGGTCGATCTGGCTGTCAAGGACTGAATCTAGTTCACTTTATTCTCTCTGATAATCTTTATTTTCTTTGCAAGGCCGAACATAAGTCCTTTACGCAATTACTAATATGTGACTCTACCTAACCTGTCACGTCAGTTATGCACTCTTTTTGAGCCAGCTTACAGCTTTTACTTATAGAATGATTATTTTATCATTTTCTTACAAAGTCGGCATTTACTTTTTTCTGAGTTTGATCTACTGTCGTTTTGAGATAATTAGTTATTTTGCATTTGGAATTACTACTACTACACTTTGTATAATTAAGCTTAAAGGCCGCCATTGCTCTTTTCATTATTGATGGGAGTTTCCTTTCTAACCTTTTATTTTAATCAGCTCTTATTGCTCTTTCCATTATTGATGGGATTTTCCTTCCTGACCATTTATTTGAAATAGCTGTTATTACTTTTGAAATAGCTTTTATTCTTCTTGATGGAATTTTCCTTTCTTATCTTTATTTGAAATATCTGTTATTACTCTTTTAGATGGGAGTACCCTTCCTAACATTTTGTTTCAATTAGCTGTTATTGCTCTTTTCACTATTGACAGGAGATTCCTTACTTACCTTTATTTTAAATAGCCCTTTTTACTCTTTCCAATATTGATGGGATTTTCCCTTCTCACCTTTTATTTTAATTAGCTCTTATTGCTCTTTCATTTATTGATGGGATTTTCCTTCCTAAACTTTATTTGAAATAACTTTTATTACTTTTTACAGTACTAATCAAACTTTCCTTCCTAATCTTTATTTGAAAAAAAGCTTTCATCACTCTCTCCAGTATTGATGGTAGTTTTCTTCCTAAAATTTATTTGAAATATCTATAATTTCTCGTTCCAGTATTGATGGGAATTTCCTTCCTAACCTTTAGTAATCATTCCAGTAGTGATGGGTGTTTCCTTGTTATTAATCATTACAGTATTGATGGGAATTTCCTTTCTAACCTTTATGTGAATTCGTTTTATTTGCTGGTTAAATGTTTGTTGGGATTATTATTAAGCTTCCGATTTTTCGGCGACTGATGGTTCAGCGCCTTTTTTAATTCAGATAAAATTGAAAACCCTTCGCACAACACTTGACCTACCGGAAGATTGAAATAAATCTTGTTCATCCCAATTTTCACCCCATTTTAAAGCTAAATCGTTGTGTAAGATTAATGCGTATACAATCCCACGCTATCGTGAAAGATTAATGTGCATAAAAGCCCACTCTCTTGTTGATGAGAAGACATAAAGAATATTTCAACGGGGCCACTTGAAAAGAGAAGGTAAATCCTTATTAATGGTAGATCAAAACAATGCGATACTAAAAATATTAAAGACAAGGTAGAACACAGCAAAATAGAAACTATAGGTTGTATGGAAATAAAAATGAGATGGGCAGTCACATAAAGAAAACAACAATAGGCAGAACTGGGTAAAGAAGGTGATCCACTTGAAAATATGAAAACGACTTTTTACTAGTTCCGCACACATTACAAGGCCTTAGAGTAACTCAAGGTAGAGAGGTAATGAATTAGGTTGTTACATGAACTTAAGAGGGGGTAATAAGTGCAGATTATGAGGATACGGTGAAACAACAACAGTTGATCCTAGACTTGATATTGTAGCATTCTGGTCGCATATTTTCGGAAATCTATGTGCCCCAGACATTTTCTGATTCTAAGTATTAATCTCATATTGATCCCTATTTTCTTTAAAACATCATCGTTGTTCATAGTATTCTCAGTATCCTTCTGCAGAACCATATCCCCTCAAGTATCCTCTTCATCTATGAGAGAATAGTCTACCATTCACTATTATGTATATTACATATTATTATATATGGATTGTATCAGTTCAACTCTCTTCATTTCTAACGAAATTTTCATGTTTCTTAAAACTTCCTTAAGTTATTGTAAGTTATCACTATCTAATGAGCCTTTGGATTTCTCTGTTACATTTTCTGTCGTCTCTTGTAACACTTCCTAGATAATTAAATCTCTGTACTTGCTTAATTCTTATATCTCAACTGCATTGCTTGCATCTTGGGCTACCCCACTTGCTAGTGACCATACATTCAGTCTTTTTTACAGTTGGCAATCCTTTTTTTTTTCCTTGTTTTCTTTCACTACTTTGTCTAGGAGTACAAAATGGCAGTAAGGAATTAAACATAAAAGAATGACGTCTCTGATTAGTGATAGCACTTTATTTAATGGTTTCAGTGCAAAGTAGAAAATATCTTTGAGAATTAAAAAGAATAAAAATGTTTTGACATTTTTATATTAAGACGGATCATCCCTACCCAGTCTGAAGAACAATTTCATTATGGACGTACATTGCCATTTTTCTAAGGATCAGGTTAGTTTGATGCCATTTTTCGATATAAGCGCAAAATATACACTGATGGAGAAATGGCAACAACTAATCTCTTTGCCACGAGGAAGTCTATGAATAAGATACACGTCAAGACTAAGTTGAGAGCGACGAAAATTATGGAATTTGACAATGAAGGTCTTTGAACCACTGGGAACAATTCCAAACACCATCACGGGAAAGCAATTTAGAAAACGTGAAGATGGAAGAAAGATTTTGTGACTATCCTAATCACAACATCTTTGAAAATCGACAAAGTCAGAGAATGCTGAAAGTTTGAGAAAAATTCTTATCACTTGATATGTATCAAAAGCTACCAGGACTCTTGGTTTAAAAATCTGTGTTTCTATACGCTTTTACAAGATCAACGATGAATAAGAATTGCATGAGCAAATGATTAACGTAGACAGAATTATCCCTACAAAGTATTTAGAACATGGAATACGATTGGCTGATTAGGTTTTACATTTTCTATGTTGCCTAATCAAAATAATCCAAACGGTTACATAAAAAAAGAATTTCATATTACGGGGTGTACAATATATATATATTCAGTAGCCAAGATGTTTGGTCTTTTTGTTGTATGATATTAGGTGTATGATATTGTCACATCATCATCTTCTTTTCTTCTCTTTTATGCCTCTTGATTCCTTGGGGGACATAGGGCCGCAACAACACCTACCCAATGGACGCGGTTTCGGGCGATCCTCTTCAGTTCGGCCCATGTCGTGCCAGCTGCCTTCTCCTCTGTGTCAACACTTCTGCGACAAGTCTATTTTAGTCGAC